TTGTGTTTTTACAGTATTCACTCTTTGTCTTTTGCATTTTAAGCAGTTTACTACTATTGACTTCCCTCAATGTTGGTTCTTGACTGCCTTTCACATAATCTGCCAGTGCATGTTTCTCTTCTTCTACCGTTTGTTTCACTTGCAGAAGCCCTCTGCCTTCTGATTTTCTGGGTAAGTAAAGTCTGTTGACATACTATGCGGGTGTAATGAGTAGTGGATTGTCATCAGTTTTCTTGTTTTCTGTCCAGATCATCCAACTCTGCTTGAGTCCAGTTCATAATTCCAGCAGTGTATCTAATGACAAGGATGGCCCAGATGTTGAGAGCCTTGTTCATATTTCCGCCATTTAATTTGCTCTTCAAAACCTTTCTAACTCTTTGGATATATTCTTTACTGTTCACATTTTTGACATGCCCATGCTTGATACTGTCCAACTTTAGTATGCCCAGATATTTATAGGCTTCAGGCTGATTGTATTTTATGGTTTGTCCGTTTGGCATCTGTATGCCCTTGTTGTGAGTAATTTTCTCTATCTTTAATGCCACTGTCGCACATTTGTCTAGGCCGAACTCCATACTGATGTCAGTGCTAAAGATTCTGACTGTGTTGGTCAGTGACTGGATTTCAGTTTCATTTATTATTATTATTATTATTATTATTATTATTATTATTATTATTATTATTATTATTATTATTCTATCCCAGTAGTTTGTTGAGTGCCTTTCCACTTGGAAGTCTCATTTTCTAGCACTATCTCATTTCATTTGAATTTTCTTATTATAGGATTTTAATGGTAACAGACATCCGTTTTCTGCAGTTCTAAGACATGTTAGTTATGATGTCACAGTCAATGTCTCTGAGAGATGTGCCACCAATGTAACCACACACTGCTTTTGCTGCCCAGAGACTATTTAACTCAGTCTGTCTGTCTCACATGGAAAATCCTTTCAGTAGCACTGTGGTCATCAGCACAGGGTTTTGCCGCAGGAGCACATAATAATACCTCTGTGGAAAGATAATGCTATTGATGGAAAATGTCATCCCATTGATCAAATATTAGTTTGAGCCATTTAAATCTTACAATGTAACTGAAAGAAACTGGACCACCAATACTTCTCAGAATAACAAGGTCATTCCATAAAAACATTCAAAGTTCGTGTGATATTCCAATCTTAATGTGTTTAATATGAAAAACAAACAGGGAGATATAGCAACATTACCCATTAATGCACAGTCAATAACTTTCATTTTGCTGTCAGCCAATGGGTCTCAAGATATTATACTGATGTCACAGTTCCTTGGTCACTGAGATTGGCCTGAGTAACTGTAATGCCTCTTTTTTAATGCTGCTAGAAAGAGAATCGACTCAAATGCTGGCTTCTGGCTAAAAAAGAACACACACACCATCATGATGGGCGAAGTACCAGGGCAGCAGGAGATCTTTGATTCACTGTTCAGCATTGTAACTAGGTAATATGAGGATAGTTCCATCTTAATTTAGAGATGCTACTTGGCCACTGTAACAGTATTGAAAGGATTTTTAGCACATTGGATAATGGGTTTTGGCTGCTGTCGTTATGTACCTTCGAGTTCATTTCTGATTTATAGTGACTTACACATGTCTTCTTAGCAAGGGGTTTGCTTCTACCATCTTCTGAGGATGTGAGAGTGTGACTTGCGCAAGTTCACCTACTGGGTTTCCATGGCTAAGCAACAAGTCCAATGCTTAACCTTCACTGGAACAAGGTCTGGTTACCTTAGAAAGGGGCTTTAGGCTGCCAAATGATTCATTGAACAGCTTTATATGGGTCTATAAACAGGCATCCTCAAGCTGCAGCCGTCTGGCTGTTTGGGCCTCCAACTCCCAGAATTCCTGACCATTGAACAAACAAACTAGTCCAGTGTGGGCTAGGCAAAACTACGGTGAGGTGGATCTGTAATTGGTTAAGCGGACAAACTCAGAGTTGCTCACCAATGCTTCCTCTTCATCTTGGAAAGAAGTGATGAGAGGAGTGCCGCAGGGTCCGTCCTGGAACCGGTCCTGTTCAACATCTTTATTAATGACTTAGATGAAGGGCTAGAAGGCATGATCATCAAGTTTGCAGACGACACCAAATTGGGAGGGATAGCCAATACTCCAGAGGACAGGAGCAGGATTCAAAACAATCTTGACAGATTAGAGAGATGAGCCAAAACTAACAAAATGAAGTTCAACAGTGACAAATGCAAGATACTCCACTTAGGCAGAAAAAATGATATGCAAAGATACAGACTGTAAGACGCATGCCTTGAGAGCAGTACATGTGAAAAATATCTTGGGGTCCTCGTGGACGTTAAACATGAGCCAACAACGTGATGCGGCGGCAAAAAAAGCCAATGGGATTTTGGCCTGCATCAATAGAAGTATAGTATCTAGATCCAGGGAAATCATGATACCCCTCTATTCTGCCTTGGTTAGACCACATCTGGAATATTGTGTCCAATTCTGGGCACCACAATTGAAGAGAGATATTGACAAGCTGGAATGTGTCCAGAGGAGGGCGACTAAAATGATCAAGTGTCTGGAGAACAAGCCCTATGAGGAGTGGCTTAAAGAGCTGGGCATGTTTAGCCTGAAGAAGAGAAGGCTGAGAGGAGACATGATAGCCATGTATAAATATGTGAGAGGAAGTCATAGGGAGGAGGGAGCAAGCTTGTTTTCTGCTGCCCTGGAGACTAGGACCGGAACAATGGCTTCAAACTACAAGAAAGGAGATTCCATCTGAACATAAGAACTTCCTGAGAGCTGTTCAGCAGTGGAACTCTCTGCCCCGGAGTGTGGTGGAGGCTCTTCCTTTGTTGTTGTTCATTCGTTCAGTCATTTCCGACTCTTCGTGACTTCATGGACCAGTCCACGCCTGAGCTCCCTGTCAGCCGTCACCACCCCCAGCTCCTTCAAGGTCAATCCAGTCACTTCAAGGATGCCATCGATCTATCTTGCCCTTGGTCCCTCTTCCTTTTTCCTTCCATTTTCCCCAGCATCATTGTCTTCTCTAAGCTTTCCTTTCTTCTCATGATGTGGCCAAAGTACTTCATCTTGGCCTCTACTATTCTTCCCTCCAATGAGCAGGCGGGCTTTATTTCCTGGAGGATGGACTGGTTGGATCTTCTCGCAGTCCAAGGCACTCTCAGAACTTTCCTCCAGCACCACAGTTCAAAAGCATCTATCTTCCTTCGCTTAGCCTTCCCTAAGGTCCAGCTCTCACATCCATAGGTGACTGCAGGGAATACCATTGCTTTAACTATGTGGATCTTTGTTGCCAGTGTGATGTCTCTACTCTTCACTATCTTATCGAGATTGGACATTGCTCTCCTCCCAAGAAGTAAGCGTCTCCTGATTTCCTGGCTGCAGTCTGCGTCTGCAATAATCTTTGAACTTAGAAATACAAAGTCTGTCACAGCCTCCACGTTATCTCCCTCTATTTGCCAGTTGTCAATCATTCTTGTTGCCATCATCTTGGGTTTTTTTATGTTTACTGCACCTTTTGCGCCTTTCTTCTTTCACCTTGATTAGAAGGCTCCTCAGCTCCTCCTCACTTCGGCCATCAAGTGGTATCATCTGCATATCTAAGGTTGTTAATGTTTCTTCCAGCAATTTTAACCCCAGCCTTGCATTCGTCAAGCCCCGCACATCGCATGATGTGTTCTGCATACAAGTTGAATAGGTTGGGTGAGAGTATACAACCCTGCCGTATGCCTTTCCCAATCTTGAACCAGTCTGTTGTTCCATGGTCAGTTCTTACTGTTGCTACTTGGTCCTTATACAGATTCCTCAGGAGAGAGACAAGGTGATTTGGTATGCCCATGCCACCAAGAACTTGCCACAATTTATTATGATCCACACAGTCAAAGGCTTTAGAATAGTCAATGAACAGAAATAGATGTTTTTCTGAAACTCCCTGCCTTTCTCCATTATCCAGCGGATATTGGCAATTTGGTCTCTCATTCCTCTGCCTTTTCTAAACCCAGCTTGTACATCTGGCAACTCTCTCCATGTATTGCTGGAGTCTTCCTTGCAGGATCTTGAGCATTACCTTACTGGCATGAGAAATAAGGGCCACTGTACGGAAGTTTGAGCAGTCTTTAGCATTTCCCTTTTTTGGTATGGGGATATAAGTTGATTTTTTCCAGTCTGATGGCCATTCTTTTGTTTTCCATATTTGCTGGCATATACGATTCTATGGAGGCCTAAATAGCTGGGGGCCTAAAGATACAGAGTTTAGGGGTTCCACGTCCTAATCTCCAGAGTAGCAGAAAACAAGCTTGCTCCCTCCTCCCTATGACTTCCTCTCACTTATTTATACATGGCTATCATGTCTCCTCTCAGCCTTCTCTTCTTCAGGCTAAACATGCCCAGCTCTTTAAGCTGCTCCTCATAGGGCTTGTTCTCCAGACCCTTGATCATTTTAGTCGCCCTCCTCTGGACACATTCCAGCTTGTCAATATCTCTCTTCAATTGTGGTGCCCAGAATTGGACACAATATTCCAGTGTGGTCTAACCAAGGCAGAATAGAGGGGTAGCATGACTTCCCTGGATCTAGACACTATACTCCTATTGATGCAGGCCAAAATCCCATTGGCTTTTTTTGCCGCCACATGACATTGTTGGCTCATGTTTAACTTGTCCAGAAGGACCCCAAGATATTTTTCACATGTACTGCTCTCAAGGCATTTGTTCCCCATTCTGTATCTTTAGGCCTCTTTAGGCCAGAGTTTAAGGGTGTCAGGTCTACACTGACGATATAATTGTAGATGTGTAGCTCCAGTCTAAGCAATGTGGTCCTGTTGAATGCAAATCTACTTCCTCCCTGACAAGGCTCAATGAAGTTCAGGAGAATGGAGCCTCAACAGAGTCGCCTCACAAAAGAGAGAGAGCAGCACACTGGTCTGACTTCATTCATGTCGCACGCGCCTGCGCAAAGCAAGGCGCTGATTCGTCCCCTCAGCCCTCGCGCTCATCTCTGCGCCTGCGCATGAGGTGACGGCCGGCGCTTGCGCATCGCGTGCACACTATTCCTTTTCGCCTTGGCAACAGGGCTGTCTGTCGCCTCGCTTCCCACAGCCGCTGAGTCTCAGTGTTGCTTCTGGCGCGATGCAAGGGGAGGACGCGCGGTACCTCAAAAGGTAACGTCTCCCCTCAGCAAAGGGAAAAGGAGGGGAAAGTGGCTCATTGAACGGGAGAGGGCTTCGAGGCCGGGCCTGAAGGGCGGGGGGTGCCCTGCCTGTCGCCTCAAAGCGAGAGGGCGGCCTCTGGCTGGATATGAATAGGCTCTATGTGTAGGGAGTGTACTATCTAATTGTGTCATCTCTCTGGCCCTGCAGCATTCTGGGAATCGTAGTTTAGGGCGGGGCCTTTGGCATTCTCAGCTACACAGATCCTCCTTTCCCAAACTACATTTCCCAGGATTCTGCAGGCGGCAGAACAGACAAGCATCCCGAGCTCTGAGGATTACCTGGGAAGGGATCCCACTGGAGCATTGCAACACACCCAAATACCTGGGAGTCACTTTGGACCGTGCTCTGACCTACAAGAAGCACTGCCTGAACATCAAGCAAAAGTGGCACTAGAAACAACATCATACAAAAGCTGACTGGTACAACCTGGGGATCACAACCAGACACAGTGAAGACATCTGCCCTTGCGCTATGCTACTCTGCTGCTGAGTACCCATGCCCAGTGTGGAACACATCTCACCACACTACTAAAACAATGGATGTGGCTCTTAATGAGACATGCCGCATTATCACGGGGTGTCTGCACCCTACACCACTGGAGAAATTACACTGCTTAGCCGGTATTGCACCACCTGACATCCGCCGGGAAGTAGCAGCCAATAGTGAAAGGACCAAGGCAGAGACATCTCCAGCTCATCCCCTGTTTGGGTATCAGCCAGCACGTCAACGACTTAAATCAAGACATAATGTTCTTAGATCTACAGAGACACTCGCTGGAACACCTCAGCAAGCGAGAGTCCAAAAGTGGCAGGCCCAAACCCAGCACCTCTATCCATGGGTGATACCAGATGAGAGACTCCCCCCTGGGCACACAGAAGACTGGGCGACTTGGAAGGCGCTGAACAGACTGCGCTCTGGCACCACGAGATGCAGAGCCAACCTTAAGAAATGGGGCTACAAAGTGGAATCCACGTCATGCGAGTGTGGAGAAGAGCAAACCACTGACCACCTGCTGCAATGCAACCTGAGCCCTGCCACATGCACAATGGAGGACCTTCTTGCGGCAACACCAGAGGCACTCCAAGTGGCCAGATACTGGTCAAAGGACATTTAATCAACTACCAAGTTTGCAAAATCTGTGGGTTTTTGTTTTTTTTTTAATCTGTGTGTTTGTTTTCTGTTAGAAATGTAATACAATGGTATGGTTGCTGATGACACGATAAATAAATGCAGGCGGCAGGGGACTCCCAACTTGTGAGGTTGCCTGCTTTAAAGCCCCAGTGTGAGAACTGGTATTAGAACCCAATTCAATGACAGAGCTCCATAGGCCTACCCAATGTCTTGCATGTTAATGGTGTTCAGAAGTAGTATTGGAGGGGATTGATCAGGCATGGGCAAACTTGGGCCTTCCAAGTGTTTTGGTCTTCAATTCCCACAATTCCAAACTGTTAGTAATTATAGACATTGAAGTCCAAAATACCTGGAGGGCAAAAGTTTGCCCATGCCTCCCATCATTTTTATTTATTTATTTATTTGACACAGTCTCATATATAAACAGAAAATATACGTTCAGAAACAATGAAACATGTCTAGATCTGTATGTAGGCGGCAACTTGTACAAAATAAGTATAACATATTATACCATTCACTCGAGTTTAAGTCACTTTTAAAGGAAAATCCATGCAAACTATTCCTAACTAGAACTGTTTCCATCTAGCTAACAGCCATAGTGCCATCAGCTATCCCCCCTCCTCCATTCATATCCAAATAAAATAAAATAAAGTAAAAATGCCAATGTATTTTTTTTTGGAGATTCCTTACAAGGCAAGAAATATACCTTCATGATCAAGATGCTTTCAGAGTATGTCCAAATATATCTTGATATTACATCAATAAAAAAAGAAAACAAGAATGGGAGCAGGCAACAAAGTACTCTCTTATGACTAGAGCTTTCTGACTCTTTTACATACACAGGCACGGACAGTTTCAAAAACCCAATTTGTATAAATTCCCATGCCTCCCAACAGGCGTGTCCAAATTTTTTAAGCCAGGGCCAGTTCACTGTCCTTTGTTGTTGTTCATTCGCTCAGTCGTTTCCAACTCTTCGTGACTTCATGGACCAGTCCACGCCAGAGCTCCCTGTTGGTCGTCACCACCCCCAGCTCCTTCAAGGTCAATCCAGTCACTTCAAGGATCCCATCCATCCATCTTGCCCTTGGTCGGCCCCTCTTCCTTTTCCCTTCCATTTTCCCCAGCATCATTGTCTTCTCTAAGCTTTCCTTTCTTCTCATGATGTGGCCAAAGTATTAAATCTTGGCCTCTACTATTCTTCCCTCCTTCACTGTCTTTTATTATTTATTTATTATTTATATTCTACTTTATCTCTCCATATGGAGACTCAAAGCGGCTCACAACCAAAAACATTACAACTTAAAATATACAATAATAAAACACCATATAAATAAAAATGTAATGTTCCTTTGTGGGATTAACATAACTCAAAAACCTCTGGACGAATTGACACCAAATTTGGACACAATACACCTAACAGGCCAGCAAATGACCGTCACTCATAAAAACACTGGAAAACACAGCTAAAAAGTCTTAAAAAGCCAAAAAATAAAAACCACATATATACATGCAAACACATATATATACACAAATATATACACGTATACATAAACTGGGCCACAGCAACAAGCCCTGGACATCAGAAGAGCTGCAAGACCGAGAACAAGTCACGAGAGTAAAGACAAAAATCCGCCCAGAGGAAAAGTATTCTTGCCATACATCAAGGGAACCACTGACCACATAGGTAAGCTGATGAGGAAACACAACATACAAACTATCTACAGACCCACCAAGGAAATCCAACAAATGCTACGTTCAGCAAAGGACAAGAGGGATCCTCTCACTTCTGCAGGAGTCCTCCGTGTACCATGCAGCTGTGGACAAGTCTACATAGGGACCACCAAACGCAGCATTGCCCAAACACGAATCAAGGAACATGAAAGGCACTGCAGACTACTTCAACCAGAGAAGTCAGCCATAGCAGAGCACCTGGTGAACCAACCTGGACACAACATATTATTTGAGAACACAGAAATGCTGGACCACTCCAACAACCACCATGTCAGACTACACAGAGAAGCCATTGAAATCCATAAGCATGTGGACAATTTCAACAGAAAGGATGAAACCATGAAAATGGACAAAATCTGGCTACCAGTATTTAAAAAACTCTAAAATTACAACTCTAAAATTACAATAGAGAGGAAGCAATCAAGTACATCTAATCACCTCTCAACAAAAGATTGTCCCAGGCACTGCCAGGCCATCAATTTCTAATCAAGGTGGTCAGTTGAAACATTCACACCTAGCTCCAACAGACAAGAGCCCTTTGTCTCACCCTGGTCATTCCACAGATATATAAACCCATTTTCCTAGTTCCAACAGACCTCACTACCTCTGAGGATGCTTGCCATAGATGCAGGCGAAACGTCAGAAGAGAATGCCTCTAGAACATGGCCATATAGCCTGAAAAAACCTACAACAACCCAAATACTTTATAAACAACAAGACAGCATATCTGTCAGTTTATCCTGGCAGAATAAAGAGGAGTTTATTTTTTTGACTATTTAATGTGCTTAATGCTGTAAACAGATGTATTATGTGACCAGGCTTTTTTTTTTTCTTAACAGGAAGGTAAAAGGAGGAAATATTGATGTTCATCCATCAGAAAAAGCACTTATTGTTCACTATGAAGTCGAAGCTACCATTCTTGGGGAAATGGGAGATCCTATGCTGGGAGAACGCAAGGAATGTCAAAAAATGTAAGCTTACAGCATTCATTATTTATTTATTTATTTATTTGCTTCATTTGTATACCGCCATTCTCAGCCCTAAGGTGACTCATAGCGGTTTACAACAATCAAACAAAAACACGGCGAACAATCAAGGCAAAAATTCAATGCAGCATCAACAAGGTACTTAAAAACAGTTAAAACAGAAGCAAATTAAACAATTTAACAGTAATAAACATTCAAGTGGCGTCTCATAACTAGAATCATGATCCAAACTCGTCAGTCGTTCCATTTCCAGAAATTCATTGCACTGCTTATTCAAATGCCTGTCCAAACAACCAGGTTTTCACCTTTCTCCGGAATACCATCAATGAGGGAGCCAATCTGATGTCCGTGGGGACATGAGCAAGTTTTTCTATGAACCAAAAAAATCTGGAAAGCTTTTGGAGTGGGGGGACTTAGAATGTAAAAAATGGGTTCATAACATATTGTGTCCAGATAAGTAAAAATGATATTCAGGGTGGGACCTAATGTTACGCATGTCCAATATCCTTAACCTTCGCAGGAAATTTTAGTCATTATTATTATTCTTATTCTTATTATTCTCCACTTTATCTCCCTCGAAGGAGACTCAAAGCATCAAAATCATCCCTGATATAAAAGGAGGGCACTTGCAACTATTTTGAATAAGCTATGAAATCTAGGTTTGTGAATGAATTCCTACTTCATTGGCTTTAACAAAAAATCAAATCTTTGGTAGTGTATAAACCTTGTTGGGAGTAAATGAAAGAAAGTAATCCCTCTGCTGGCTCCTTTTGTAATTGTGAGATTTTTCACCTCCGATTTTGTCTTATCACCAGAAAGCAATTATGCCATTTTAAGTCTTTGATGCATACCACAACCTAGATGCATACCACAACCTAGAGCTGGTTTAATGTAACTTAAATATTGGGTTAATAACCTCAGGGTAAACATTCTGATAATATTTTATAGTATTCGGTTGAAGAGTCTCAATGCAAACACAGACATTTCTTCCCTGGCTCGGAAAGTGGTGGAGGAATGCAAGCTTATTCACCCCTCCAAACTAGCAGAAGTGGAACAATTGCTCTATTATCTACAGAACCGTAGAGATACTTCATCTGCAAAAGGTGGGTAAGTGGTCCATTGTCAGGGCCCTTATTTTTTCAAAGTATTAAGAGATTAAAGCAATTTGAAAAATAGCCTCTGCTCCATTAGAAAAACTGCTACAACTTCATGGGAAGATCTGGTTTAGTCAATCATACTAATACTGAAATAACAATACATTATTTGTTTAATGAAGAAACATGGATGGGCATCTTCTTAATGCAACATACAGTCGGGCCTCCAAATCCACAGATTCTGTATCTATGGATTCAACCATCCATGGTTGAAAATGCATATTTTTAAAATTCCAAAAGCCAACCCCAGATGTTGCCGTTTTTATATAAAACTGCATCATTTTACTACACCTTTGTATATAATGGGACTTGAGCATCCATAGATTTTGGTATCCATTGGAATGAGGGTCCATGCTTAATCAGCTAAGTGTGGAGAAAGTTATTGAAGAACTAAAAAAGTATTTTGAAGAGTCTTTTAAACATCAATACCAGGAAGGATTCTGGAGCAGATGAAGGAGACAGTCTGCAATCACTTAGAAAGGAATGCTGTGATAACTAAAAATCAACATGAATTTCTCAAAAACAAGTCATGCCAGATTCTTATCTGTTTTTTCGATAGAGTTACAAGCTTGGTAGATTCAGGGAATGCTGTGGATGTAGCATATCTTGATTTCAGCAAGGCCGTTTATAAAGTCCCCCATGATCTTATTGCCAACCAATTAGTAAAATGTGGGCTAGGCAATGCTACTATTAAGTGGATTTTTCATTGGTTGAGTTACCAATCTGTAGGATGCTTCCCAATGGTTCCTCTTTGTTTTGGAAGTGAGTGACTAGTGGAGTGCTGCAGGGTTTGGTCCTGGGCTCAGTGCTGTTAAACTTTATTAATGACTCTGATTGATGTTTAGAGGGCAAGCTTGTCAGGATTCACAATGACACCAAATTGGGAGGGATAGCTAATACCCTAGAAGACATAATCAGAATCCAGATAACCTTAACAGATTAGGGAGTTGTGCCCAAACTAACAAAATGAATTTCAACAATGAGAAATGTAGGATAATACACATGGTATGTGTGCATTTAAAGAACTTTCAAAGGCTGTCTTGTGGAAATATTTTTCTTTAACCAACCAAAAAAGTCTCTAGAGAATGGGAATATCACTACCATATAGACTCTGTCTTATGATCAGCATTTACTATCTGTAACCTTGCAGATATAAAACTCCTTGTATCACACTATTCCATTTTTACTGCATTTTTATGTTGGCATAGGTTAGCATTTGAATAAGTTGAGATTTTTGGTAAACTTTTAAAGTCATGATTCTTAATTTGCTTTCCAGAAAAAAAAGAAAAATCCAGTAAGCCAAAAGATCCACCACCTTTTGAAGGGATGGAGGTAAGGGCGTTAATGTTAATAATTATTACCTAAGTCAGACTTCTTTTTTCTTCAATATCTATGTCATGGTCTTCTTTAAACCTATTTGTAGATATTTTCACATACAGAGACATCTGCACAGCTATGGGTTTTCCATTCAAATAAAGTGAAGCTATATGGACTTGTGTTTAGTAAATCAAATAATACTTGCTATTTATTTCCTGCAGTTTTCTCAATAGTTTCTTTTTTCTTAACATGATGTTTTCAGATTGATGAAGTAGCAAATATCAATGACATGGATGAATATATTGAGTTACTTTATGAAGATATTCCTGATAAGGTCCGTGGTTCTGCACTTATTCTGCAACTGGCCAGAAATCCTGATAACTTGGAAGAACTTCTGCTTAACGGTAATTTTAATTTAAGATTAATAATAGTGCTAGATCAGCATTTGCCTCAAAAAACGTTTAGGAGCCTGTGTGCATATCAGACAGTATGATTACTTATTCTTAAAAATCTCACTATGCATATGTGTCATAATTAATCACTTATATTAGCTAAATATATTTCAGTCATTGTCTTACAAAATTTGAAGGAATTCTGTTGCCTTGGCAGTAAAGCTGTTCAGTTTTAACCTGTTTGTGTTCATTAACTGTCTTCTAGTTACTCATTGGTACCCAGTGGATTTCATGGGGTTTTCTTGGGCAAGCAACTAGGTGTGTGTGTGTGTGTGTGTGTGTGTGTGTCTGTGTCTGTGTCTGTGTCTTAAGCCACTCTGAGTCCCCTTTGGGGTGAGAAGGGCGGCATATAAATGTCGTAAATAAATAAATATTTAATTCAGCAATCAAATTATTGCTGCCTCTAGTATTGTGTGGCTGCAACAGACTATATTTCAGACTAGCCTAGAGGTGTCCAAAAGGCTGTTAGAGATCTCCCCTGTGGCTAAAGAGGGAAGGTGAGAAATACAAGGTACAAGTGTCTGTACAACAAATTTACATAGTTACACATTTTAATCTTCCTTGTTGGAAGACTCCGCTGTCATTGCTGTCAGTGTGTGCTATTCTCAGCACTGCTTGCGGTAGCAGGTTTTTTTTCCTTCCCCATCACTCTCTCATAGGGCATCATCTTCTGATCCACCCAGTGCATTAGAAATGCCAGTTTTGCGATCAGGTCCCAACTCTTAATGGCCCATGTGCACATCAGTTCTAAGGGCGGGTGCTTCACATTTCCAGTAGGTGTCAATTGCTGATCACCCGCTCATCATTCACTCACTATAAAAACTGTGCAAGTGGACTTTAAAGGACTTGTTCACCAATACATCTCGTGGCTTCAAGATAGAGATTAAACTACCAGGAATCATTACCACTTGTATCTTATTGTCACAGAAAAGTTCCTTCACTTCCTTGACAATGTGACTTCGGAAACTGGCCAAAAGTAGCAGAGCCATCTGGTTCCGTAGAGCACCTGGTCTTCTGTTCCACACAGTTTAAACCCAATCCACCATGGTTTCTAAGTTCATCCAACCCGTTATCTGCGCCCATATATGAATCACACTGAGAAATTGTACTTCCTTATGCATCGTTTTCTTCTTCAGCCGTAATGGTAAGCATTACGGTGCATCTTAATCTGTCATGACCACTAGTTCTCGTGGTGATACTAGATGACTCTTTTGGTGCAATAGTGCTATTGTGAGACATGTCAAAGAACACAGCATTCTGGTCAGCATTACCAGTTTGAGAAAGGAGGTATGGTGTTTGAGAACCGCCATCCCACCGACTCACATGCCCATGCACTCACTCACTCTGATGTCCATCCATCTTCTGCTTCAAGTAGCATTTCTTAATAATAACTTTCTTAATAATAAATATAAAGATTTGAACGAACAAATCTTGATTTGTTAGCCCAAATTTGCTATTATTCTGTCATATATTGTTCATTTGTTCAGAATGCTATTGTTCTGGCACATATAGCTAATAACTGGCCCATATGCCCTTGAACAAATTTTCTTTTATTTCTCCTTTCTCTAATCTTACTTTGTATGTTAATTTTTCAGATAAAGCTGTTTGTCCAATTTGTATTATTTCCATTGTATGACTATCTCCATCCTTGCAGCACATCCCACATGTACAATAAGGTCCTTGCTTAATAGATTCTCAATTTAGTTTTCAAATAAGGAGATGAGCAGTAATGCCCCTCAAAAGTGGACCTCCCTTTATTTGCATATCCAGGTTAAGACCACTTCTCAACATTTTAGTATCTTTGGACATGAGGGCCACATGTTTCCAATCTTTTAATGCTCCACATCCTCTCCAGCATAATTTTGATTTTATTAATCCCGTGTACTTGTATGGGAGATTGCCAGTAAATACCAGGTGCAGTAGGGAATATATTTCAGAAGAAGAAGCTGTCAAAATTACTTCTCAGTGTTCCTTGCCTAAGAAAACCCTATGAAATTCATGTGGTCACTATACATCGATAAGCAACTTGAAGGCACAGATGAACATCCCTATACCCAGTATGGAAAGTGGTTTTAGTTTTTCTTTTAAAGCAGCTGCATGCTTTGTTACCATTTTTATTGAATTGTCTGCTACAATCCCAAGAGCACTTTCCTGTTCAGTGGCAGCCAAATAATATGTATACATATGAAGCTTGGATTTACTTTACATATGCTTATAGAAACTTCTGCTCTTTTGGTAGTCCAGTGGTTCTCAGTCTGTGGGTCCCCGGGAGTTTTGGCCTACAACTCCCAGAAATCCCAGCCAGTTTACCAGCTGTTAGGATTTCTGGGAGTTGAAGGCCAAAACACCCACAGGTTTGGAACCATTGGTTTAGACAAAAGTAGAACACGTGTTAACAGTGTATCATATAGGTTTGTTCAGTTTAGAGCTAAGGAAATTAGCTGGACTTACTGCAGCCTGCTTCTGGGACCCATCACACTTTCTCCTCACTTTATAGAAACTGCATTGGGTGCTTTGGCCAGAGTTCTGCGAGAAGACTGGAAACAAAGTGTAGAACTTGCTACTAATATAATTTATATTTTCTTCTGCTTCTCTAGGTATGTTTAATTTGTTATGTATATGCATGTTTTTGAGCGGGGAAAATATTTTCAGTGGAAAAATGTTGTTGGTAATTGTTATTATGCCTTCGATGTCACTTCAACTCATGGCACCCCTGTCATGGGGTTTTCTTTGGAAGATCTTTTCAGAATAAAGTTTGTGGGGGTTATAGGGGATTACTTGTCCTGAATCACCCATGTGGGTTTCCTGTCTGAGCAAGGATTCAAACACTGATGTCATTATTATAACACACTGGTGCTTGGTGTAGTATGGTATAAATGTTACTATGATTATTAAGTCATTTATCTATGTGGTGGCACAATGAGTTAAACCATTGTGCCAGCAGGACTGCTGGCCGAAAGGTTGGCAGTTCGAATCCAGGAAGCGGGATGAACTACTGTCTGTCAGCTGCAGCTTCTCATACAGGGATATGAGAGAAGCCTCCCACAAGATGGTAAAACATCCAGACACACCCCCCCCCGGGCAACATCCTTGCAGACAGCCAATTCTCTCACACCAGAAGTGACTTGTAGCTTCTCAAGTCACTCCTGACACGAAAAAAAATCTATGTGGTTGGGATATCTAGTGATAGAAATTTTCACTTAAAGCCAATTATACTGCTTTGGAGATTTCACACTGTTTTTCTTTTCTTAATACAGCTTTACTCAGTTTCATGGACTCATCACTCACTATAAAATTGGAGCTCTCTGCATGAACATTATTGATCATGAGTTGAAAAGACATGAGCTTTGGCAGGAAGAACTCACCAAGAAGAAGAAAGCTGATATCCTTTCATTTTGTAATTATTACCAAAATGTACTTAACATTGTTTTTTGTAATAGATCTGTGGTTCCTGCAGCAAAAGGTTTTCACAGTCCCAATGTGTTCTTTTTCATGGCGCTCCATTCTGTTCTCATCCTTCAGTATTCACTAACACTCTGCCTTTACTGGGCTGTTTTGGGAGTCTGTCCACATTTAGGTTTTTTTCTATAGTATTTTTAAAATACTATTTAAATCTTCAGATTCCCTCAAGATTGCTGAATTTTCACTCATGTTTGTGAATTTTAATCTTTGGTAGTGCAAAGATTAAGTCTTCATTACTTATATGATGTTGAGAAAATAAATCTTTTATAGCTGTAATGTATTTTATTGAAGTGGTTGTTGTATTTTTAGCAGCTATCAGATATCATCCTCTCAGGCTGCTCTTTTTCATACAGATCGTACACATCTGCCCGTGATCAAACATTATTTTCCCAGGTTGTGTTTTTGTTCTGATGTGGTGAGCATGGTGTCACACCTCCTCCACAGTTGGGGAGGAGCCAGCCCAGACCTGGGAATTCTTCCTGTGTTAATGCACCTGGAGTCACTGAGGTTAGGGTACAGGTATGTTTATTCTTTAGTCACAGTCTGCAGGTAAGGCAATGAACCAGAATCTCCCACAAAAAGAAAAAAGGCTACTGCCTTCACATCCCAAAAGAAACCCAACAGATTCAAGAAGCAGGAGTGGCTCTTTCCATAACTAAATACCTCTTTCCTCAGGGATGAACTTAAAGTTATTAAGGCAAGCTACCTCTTTTCCTGGCTATCCAGAGTTTCCATATCCTTCCTCCATCTCCTCATCTGAATACTTCTTTCCCCCATTTTTCCTTCTCTTCCCATTTGAACTTCTCATTTATTTAGTATCTTCTTCCACATTGCCATTGAATCCCTCTGTTTCTCTCTTCTCTGGCCAATTTCCCGTCTCATTTGTCCCTGTTCACTCCCTTTGTCCAGACCCTCTCTTCATATCATCTTCCTTTCCATGTCAGCTTTCAGTCTTATCATTCCCACCAACTCAAACTCTCTCACTTTGTCTGCTTCTTCCTCATCTTCCCTTCCACTGTTCTCCATCACCCTTCCTTTCAGCATCCTTTCCAGCTCTTCCTGCCACCATTTATCCCTTTCTATCTGGCTCCCTGCATCCCATATATAATGGTCCCTACCTCCTACTGCAATTTCAGCACCCATATTCTTTGGCTCCATATCCAGTGCAGCCACCAGCTGTAAATAATAATAATAATAATAATAATAATAATAATAATAATAATAGGAAAAGGAAATTTGGATTTTGCGATTTGGATTCTCCTGGCTTGGCTTGGTTTTACTGGCACGTTAATCTATTAATTTTATTGTTACATTTTACGGATGGTGTATAATGTTTTAAAATGATTTTATTGTGAATTGTAATTTTTATGGTATTTATGCTGTTAGCATCCTCTGATGCTCATGTGAGGCCACGCTGAGTCCCCCTTGTGGGGAGAAGGGCGGGATATAAATATATGAAATAAATAAATAAATAAATAATCTTTATTTATACCCGGCCACCATCTCCCCAAAGGGGACTCAGTGCAACTAACATGAGGCCAAGCCCAAAATTACAACAAAATACAATACAAGTACAGCAAAATAAAATACAAAAAGCAACAATACCATCAAAATAAATACATAACATAACAAAATAAAATAAAACAGTTCCAGAAAGACATGATAGAGAAATGAGACACAGTGGGCGGGCCAAATGTACTAGAAGTAAAATTATTAGAATTGATAAAACCCTGGATGAGGTAGGTAGAATGTGTTTCTGAGGGGGGAACTCAAAGAGCTGAATAGTGTGATTAAACCTTCAATTAAGAGCAGAGGGAAAGTGCATTTGCATTTGAGGGTCACCAGCATCTCCCGACACCTGTAAAAAGTGTAATCCATAGTGAGGGAAGCCTGGAAATGCTAGAACAGTGGTGGCAGATATTTCAAGGTCCCCCTCAGCCTGTCACATTGAGCATATCCTTAACTCCAGAATTCACTTGATGAAGATCCTGATAATCAAACCCTGAAGAAAGAATGTGAAAAAACTTTTAAGAAGTACCAGGGGCTGGTTGTCAAGCAAGAACAGCTACTTCGAGGTATTCACTCCTATTTTCAAAGTTATGGAATGGCTAATTTCTCAATTTAATGAAGAATTATCGAAAAGTATTGAAAGCTGTACTTTGTTTCTGAAAGATAGTACTAAGTGTGTTATTCTCGGGATGGCACGAGGAGGAATCCACCATGGGTAGGTTATGCAACTTCGAGCCAAACCGACTGCAGGAGCCAATGTTTATTCATTGACTTTCTCCACTCTTTTGTTGGTGTTTAAATCTCCTGCACAGCTGACAGGTGTACTTTGCTCTCCTCCTTAACAAATTGATTTAAAGAATAGAAATAACTTTGGAGAGTGAAAGTTTGAAAGAGGAATATATATTTTGCTCCAAGGAATGGCTGAAAAGTAGATTGAGGAATGGCAGCAGCCAGAAAAAAAAGCTGCCCAGTTGACAGCTTCTCAGCGAGTCACTGAGGACAATCATAAACAAGAATTAAAAATAATATTTTTATCTTCAAGTGAAAGTGAATTTGAGGAAACAAGGTTGTCCAGAGACTCAAAAAAAACAGCAATAGGAAAAGAAAAAATGAGAAAATAATTACTAATGAAATTGGTCCTTATAAAATGACTGAGCCGAACACAGTAACCAAGGAGATGGCTGTCAATCAGACAGTTCCTATTAACAGTTCCTAGCCTTCTGGTGTGGTACATAGAAACATTGACAAAGCAACAGTGAGTGCTGATGGATTATAGAGACCAGATGATCTTGAGGATCATTTATCACAACAGTTCAAATGTTATTTGCAGTCCATGTTTGTGAATTTAGGACAGTGGTACTGTTGCACAGAACAAAAACAGGAAAGGGTTTAATCCAAGCACATCTAAGGGAGAAAATACAAAAAGTATTAGAGAACACGATTTATCAGACATACAAGAATTGATAAGACAAGCAGTTGTTGAAGAAATAAGTTCATTATTTCTCTCATATTAGAACGAGAGAGAAAAATTAGAAAATAACTCATATAGTTATAAAATAAATTGTTTTCTTTTTCCATTCTTAACGTACCAGTTGCTCTTTATTTGTTGCTGAATCTGGCGGAGGACACTCGCACTGAGCTGAAGATGAGAAACAAGAATATTGTCCACATGTTGGTTAAAGCTCTGGACAGAGATAATTTTGAATTGCTGATACTTGTGGTATCATTTTTGAAGAAACTCAGCATTTTTATGGAAAACAAAAATGACATGGTATGTATAATCACACTTCACTGAACATGTTTATATATAGAAAGACAGCCAGTGCCTTTTATCTGACCTGACATTGGCTCATGTAGTTTACAATGCACTATCATATACTCCCACAGGAAAAGATATAGCTGATTGGTGAACACATGCCTTATGTGCAGAAAAATGCAATATTCAGTCCTTCACACTTCCATTTTTAAGGTGCAGTGTTATCTGCCTAAGATACTGAAAAATCACATACACTTGTAAATAATGCCTCCTAATATCCATACAATAATTGTTTCCCATTATAATCTTCCCTCCTTCTACCCTTCCTGGTGCAGTGACCCCCCAACTCTTAGGTCAAAGATGTCCCAGTGAAACATTTCCCAATTCTTCTAGCACAACCGTCATCTTAAATTGCAAAGATTCTAACAAAGATCAAATTACGAAGCCTTCTATAAGAACTTTTTTCTTCTTCCCACGAAATTCAGAAATGGTTCTCAGCCCTTGACAAGAAAGATGAACCATCCTAAGAACAGATGAATTCCCTCCATCTCTAATGCATCTCCTGATGCAGCAGTTCTTATTTCAGTGAATGTGACAGAGTGAGAGCTATTCCCATAACAAATTTTAACAAGCTCGTTCATTGAATAATATTTTAAACTCTGGAATTAATTTGGGAATCTAAAGAACTAGATGGAATGACTAGGGGGAAGTGATCTAGTAATTGAACACGTTATTTTCAAAAAAAATCAGTTGATCTTATTTTTTTAAGGTATGATATTGCAGGGGAATGTATATATGTAAACTTCTGTGTACTGCTTGATCGTTATTAAATCTTTGGAACAGTAGATTTGACATTTTTTACCTTTAAATACTTCTGAAACAGGTTGAAATGGATATAGTTGACAAACTAGTGAAAATGGTGCCCTGTGAACATGAAGACCTGCTGAACATCACTCTCCGCCTTTTACTGAACCTTTCTTTTGACACAGGCTTGAGAAATAAGATGGTACAAGTTGGTCTTCTTCCAAAACTCACTGCATTGCTGGGTAGGTTACATTTTGCTTCCATTCCATAAGCCGTCCTGATTCCATCTTTGGAGGTTGAGAAGGACGGGGTATAAATGTTCTAAATAATAAATAAATTACTCAGTTCATCATTTAGAGCCACTGATATGCCCACTGCTCAGTTGAACTTTTTGAAAGAAATACACAGGTGACCCCCTACATTGACTAGTTTGACCTTCATGGATTATTGTTTGTAGTTCCCTATCCCCTTGAAGCAATATATTTTCTCCTGCTTCATTCAGTTTTTTTTAACCAATAGATATAGCACAGACTGAGTTAAGTTCCCATCTACCAACCGTGGCTTGATTTGTAGTTCCTTTTTGTATGATGCTAAGGAGCACAAGGAATGTGTACTTGGCAACCAGGCAGCATTCCTCACTCCTGAAGCTATTCCATATTGCAGGAGGAGGCTGGCCAGGAGGAAGATGGAAGAGCTGCTCGGCTGATGAGCAGTTGCCACCTCCATTCCCTCTGAGGCATGCGGCTCCTGTGTGAATATGTACACAGCAGCCATAGGCTTGGGGTAGGGAGTGGCTACAGCATTTGTTCATCCTCCCTTCCTCCTGACATTTAGGGTTGCTGTGTGAATTCCATAGGATTTCTTAGGCAAGCACTATTCAGAGGTGGTTTTCCCATTCCATAAATGTAACCTACAGTACCAGGTGTTCATTGGTGGTCTCCAATATAAGCATTGACTAGAACTCACCTGCTTAGATTCCAATAGCAGACAGGCTCTGGTGCCTTTAGGGTAGACAAGTGCTCTGAAGTCATTAATTTTTGTGGGTTTTTAAAAATAAAGTTGAATCTAGTTTAATACAACTCATGGTATACCTTTAAAGAAAGCTAGATAAGTCTTCAATTAAAATGTGATCTTTAACTGAAGGGTCATGGCAAAAATGTAGATAGCATTGTAATTGAATTTTCCCAACGGTCATCTTATATCATCCAGTTTAAGGTTATAGATATCAACTAAGCAGATGTATTTCAGTCTGGAAGCTGTTTACATGAATATTGGATTTCTCATAAAGAAGTTGTTAATACTCATAGTACTGCTTAGATTCTGCTATTTATATGACCATAATATTGAGAGTTAATTTGAATGACCAAAGGTCCTTTGGTGTATTGTCAAAGTCAGCACTGATCACATGTTCTCAAGTAGATTTTTTTGGAAGAAACCATTTACTTCCAAAATCCCTGTGATTTTTCAGTAAACCAATTTCTAATTATGACTGAATACATAAATAAATAGAAATTTAAATGCTTTGTATTGGAATTTTCTGCAAGATTAAAGTAGTTATTCTTACATTTGGAAGTTGTCAATCATTAAATATAATGGAATGTTGTGTAGTTTCCGGACTGTATGGCTGTGTTCTAGCAGCATTTTCTCTTGATGTTTTGCCAGCATCTGTAGCTGGCATCTTCAGAGGCATCTTTACATCCTCTGGAGATGCCAGCCTCAGATGCAGGCAAAACGTCAGGGGAAAATGCTGTTAGAACATGGTCATACAGCCCGGAAACCGCACAACATTCCAGTGATTCCAGCCGTGAAAGCCTTCAATAATACATTAAATAGTTCTGTCTACTCCAGTCACTGGTCAAAAAAGAAGCTTTGAAAACTTAGGTGTACTTTGTAAATTTGAAATGCATAAGATCTGTTACATGGCAGTGATACCAGTCCCTGGACTTTTGGACAGCTTAGGAACTGAGGCCACAAACATTTACTATTACTCTATTATGGGTAAAAGCAGGGGTAATTATAGTAGTGAAAAGAAATGGTAGCCCATGTACAGTATACTTTGATATCAATTGTATCTATAGATTCATCTTTAAAGTACAGTGTAACCCCTGTACTTGCTGGACAGGTACCTGTGATTTCTCTTACCTGCATCCAACAAAATATATCTTCTCTAGGAATGTTCTAGGTCCTCCAGGCAATTCTATGGTATGCTTCTGCCATATGCTTCTAGCAAATTGCTAGAGAGCTTACCTCTAGACATTTTTAGATCCTCTAGGAAACCTCTGCTGGAAGTTTTGTTTAATTTAAGCCAGTTACTTCTATATACCATTATACCGTTTCTTGTTTTCATTGTTGTAATCTGAAGGTTGCACTGTAGTTTCTACTTTTAACCTGCCTGTCTGACATTGTATTTCCAGAAAAATACTCAGATTTAAAAAAGAGCAACAATAGGAGGTAATTGTTTCTGTGATCTTTCAGGAGCCTTTTAATCTAGCAGTGGATCAGATTAGTCTAAAAATATGACTGGTTGATCCAGGTTATTGTAGAATTCTTTTTTATTCTTCTTTTTCATAGGAAATGAAAGTTATAAACAAGTGGCCATGTGTATCCTGTATCACATAAGTATGGATGACCGTTTTAAATCAATGTTTGCATACACTGACTGTATACCTCAGGTAGGTTTTCAAATGACCACTTTTTCCATTTCAGCTATGACTCTCTCTTAGGAGGTTCATATGTTTGGAAAATCCTTATCAAATTTCCATCACGTGTTGAATGTGGAACCACTCCTGAAGACAATTTGAAAGCGTCAGCTAGTATATAATATTGCATGCCAGTTAACAGTCCCTCAAACTGTGTGAGTGTGTGGGGGGGGGGGGGGGGGGGGGGGGGGGCGAGGGTTATAGTTTGAAACATGAACAAATTTTTATGCACAGCACACATATCTTATTTGTATTGCAAAAAAATGAAAGTACAATATTTAAAATGAAGAACAATTTTAATCAGCATAAACTTACCAGTATTTCAGTGGGAAGTATGGGCCTGCTTTTGGCATTAGCCATTAAAGCCCCAGTGGCCCAAACTTCCAAAGGCTTCTTCTGGTTGCCTCTGCCAAATGAAATAAGGCATTTTGATGTTAAGAGGAGATCTTTTCTGTGGCACCCTTGTGTATTGTCTCATTAGTTTTCTCTCAGAAAACAGTACTTAATTGCATATAGAAGGTAGTGATCTGCACACAGTTTTTTAAACAGTTTTTTGGCTCAGGGTTGTTGGTTCCGACTCTGTTTCTACCTTTATTTGACAATTCCTGTGAGGTTTTTGTAGGGGAAATGATGTAGAAACGTCAGGAGAAATGCCTCTAGATCATGGCCATATAGCCCGAAAAAACCCACAAGAACTGGATGTAGAATCTATTTTATAAGAAGACATTTCTTCACTCTCTGAAGACAAATGCAATCACTTCAGTGCTGCTGCTATATTGCTGTTCTAACAAATCTAATGGCTAATTTAATCTAATCCATCTGTTGTTAGCTAATGAAGATGCTGTTTGAATGTCCTGATGAACGTGTTGACCTGGAGCTCATTTCCTTTTGCATTAACCTGGCTGCTAATAAGAGGAATGTACAGCTTATTTGTGAAGGTGAGTTGAACACCAATGTATGATGTAACTCAAGGGTCCTCAAACTTTTTAAACAGAGGGCCAGACCACAGTCCTATAAACTGTTGGAGGGCCTGATTAGAATTTCAAAAAAAAAAACATGAATGAATTCCTATGCACACTGCACATATCTTATTTGTAGTGCAAACAAACACTGAAAAACAATGCAATATTTTTTTTTGTTAAAACTGTTTATTTTGATTATGGTACATAACAGAAAATCATGGCAGATATAATCAGGTACCAATATTTTTGACATGTACATGCCTGTCTACCTTATTCAGTCAATCAGTTAATTTTGTCATTAAGTACAAATTATTATCATTTACATATCTTAATACACGTAGACTTGCTATTTCTGCCTGTTTTCCACTGCTTTCCATCAGAGTTTTGTATTAATTTTTTTCCATAACATTCAGTAAATCATCACATGGCATTTTACACACATACCACAGACCTTA